TCTGTGTGTGTGTGTGTGTGTGTGTGTGTGTGTGTGTGTGTGTGTGTGTATCCGTTGACTTGCTACATCGCCTCTAGCTCTCCATTACCGTATCCCTCACTTCCTTAATCTGCTTTTGAGGCCTTGCTGGCTGACTGCCCTTTCCTGCGAACTCCGGTTTGTCTCTGCAGATTTATGCTACATTTCTGGCATAGTTAGAGATCATCAAAGTCCATCAGGTCCTATCTTATTTCTGTCACGTGATTTTTTTTTCTTTGCGAGGCAGTGGTGAAGAAGAGGCGGAGGAGGTTTTGAAGAAGGAACTGGAGATTTTGAAGGAAAAACCGCATTGGAAGAAGGCCTATTTCTATCTTTGGGACGAGGTGTGTCTTTCTCGGGCAACTCCTTCAACTCGTACAATGAACTGCCGAAAGGCAGAGACAGGGGACACAGCATTAGATAATTTTTCAGGGAGCACTGTGAGATCGAATGTTGTTGAAATTTTGCATCTGTGTGTGAAGCATTTTTGCTGTTCTCGGCATTGGCAGCGTGCTGTACCAGGCGAGTGGCATATCACTGCCTCAAGTGGAAAAGCTGCACCGACCACTGCCGAAGGCACTTCTGATTGCTATGTGCTTCTGCTTACCGTCTTCACGCAAATAGGGTGCTCATTCTGGACGCGGGGGGATAACGACCATGCGACGCAAGTGTTCTATTCGGGTGAAGACGGTAGTCGCTGAGGCAAGTGGAGTGCTGGCACTGCTGAGTACGCATGACCATGTTGTGGCCCTGCAGTGGTGGTCGTCTCTTGGACAGAGGCGGTTCTTGTCACAGTGATGGTTTTAACTTTTAATCATTTAACACATCTCTCTTGCTGCTGATCGCAAGGCAAAGTATGCTCGGTTTGCTGAATGTGTCATGTCTGCTTGTTTGGATATCAAATTTATGGTTTTGTGGCAAGGAGAGAATGTGAATGCTGATGTAAATGTTGGATGCACGTCACTCACGGCACGGACACGGTACTGAAAACGACTTGAAGCTTTCCTTTTTTCTGTACTGCGCTGTTTTCCACTTCGATGAACTTGCTGGTTTTATTTGGTCACTGCAACTTGCTGGTTTGCTCATTTTACTGTTTATGTGGGGGGGTTTGGAACTGTGTATGGTTGTGTTGATGCGCACTGCTCACCGTTGGTTGGTGTTCAATCACTGCACACTGTTTTGTGTACTACTTGGTATAGTACTGATCTACTGCATTTTATGTCGTTTGTTTCTCCTTCCTACGGGTGAGCCTCGCCGTCCGCTTGTATCTTGCTGACATGTATTGGATTGCGAGTGTTGTGTGTGAATGTAATGTCTGTGGCATGGGATTGTGCAGCCACTGAGCACTGAGCACTATCAGAGAATCCGAGAGATGGCGACCAAGATAAAGGCCATAGCTGCTGATGCACGCATCTTGACAACATACTATTGTGGTAAGTATTGGGAAATGGTTAGGTAGAAGATAGAAATCACATGCGGGCGTGATGGAGCAGCGCCAGCGGCCCTTGCCACCTCCCCCTGCTGCAGCCTTTTCTCTCTTTGCCTTGGCATTTTTCCTTCTCTCCCTTTCTCTCTTTGCCTTGGCATTTTTCCTTCTCTCCCTTTCCCTGTTTGCCTTGGCATTTNGCATTTTTCCTTCTCTCCCTTTCTCTCTTTGCCTTGGCATTTTTCCTTCTCTCCCTTTCTCTCTTTGCCTTGGCATTTTTCCTTCTCTCCCTTTCTCTCTTTGCCTTGGCATTTTCCTTCTCCTGACAGTGCAGCGCCTGCCGCCTTCGCCACCTCCCCCAGCCGCTCACACATCGAATGTGTTATATGCTTTCTGTGGGCTAGTGACACAACTCTCTCTCTCTCCCTCTCTCAATGGGAGACAGGTGTGGGAAGCATCTGGAGATGCCCCTCGTGAACCGCCCCTACCCCCGTCCATGTGATGCAATAAGCGCCTGACATGCATGAACACTCCTCTCCCTACCTCGACACTGCAGAAAGGATTGTGTGGTTTTTCTGACATGCCTTTGCACTTGCTCAAAGCATCGTCCGATACTCCTCAACACTTTCCCGCCCTTCCCCCATGCACATGAAGCACCATGAAGTGCCCCTGATTATTCCTCTTCTCCCCCATGCACGTAGAACATAGTGTGACACACTGACACTACTCAAGAGTTTGCATCGTGCAAGGCTCTCAACCACCCCTTCGCTTCCCTTCCCCTCCCTCTGCACTTGCCCAAGCCTTACTTTCCTGAGCGAGCAAATCGGCAGTGGTTGATCTTGTCTCTGATTCAGCAGCCCTTCCTACTGTCTTGACCGTCAACGTGCTTGGGGAAATGTACTGCAAGGAAAGCTAAATATGTGCACCGGCGTCTGAGTGTCGTACTATCGAAAGCAGTGTCGGACAGTACTATGTTGAAGAAGTTACGTAGGGGGTGCGTATACGGAGAGAAGGGATAAAGGTGATTGGAACTTGTGTGAAATGAAAATTTTGCCTTCTACGCCTAGGGAGGTGTCTGTCGTCGTCGTACTCAACCAGTGAGGGGGGATTGGATGGCTTGTGACAACCCCACGGACAGTCCTCCTCCAGGGGGTGTTATTTGTGACCTATTATTATATCCTAATCTTATTGCAAGTCGAGCCTTGGCTGGAGCCCCTGCAAGACAGGTAGGAGTACATGCTCTTATCATCACTCCTATCTGTCAGTGCAGGGTTCAAAAAAAAAAAAAAAAAAAAAAAGTCGAGCCGTGGCGGGAGTACAGCAGTTGATCTATGCCACAGAACAGTTTGAGGACACATCGAAATGATGTGAAAAAATTGTGTGCTCTGCTATGTAACACATATCACAGTAAGAGTCCCCACGAGAACTATCGACAAACGAATATCAGACTTTATAACGTGGCAAAGTGCTGTTGTAAATGGGTTCTATTCATGCCATTTTCATGGCCTTGTTGTTCTTTTATTTTTAATTATTATAATTTGGACCATTTCTCGATTTATGCGTGTCATACTTGTGCATAAAGGGGCCATGCTAATATTCTCTGTATCGTTCCAATTTTAACGGATGTCCCGAAGGACAGCCATGGCCTTGTTTGTTGTTCATCATGGAATGCATTTTCTGTCGTATACCATCTATCTTGTTGCTTGTTTTGCTAAGCCAAGAGGAACTGAACTGTTTTGTTACGCTCTGTTCCGGTAAGAGTGACTCTGACCGGAAACGGGAACTCTGGCGGAAGATGTCGACATTCTTTGGTTTTTTTTTTTTTTTGGGTGTTGTCTACATTCTGTATGTTGGCGTCATGCATCTTTACGGAAGTGGGAACTCTGTTTCTGGATTTTTCTGATCTAACTTTGGCAAGCAAGCAGCTCTTTTTTGCTGAAACCGATCATGTTGGACGCGGGGCGTTTGTATCAGGTCGAGTGAGTGATTCTCTGCACTATGGTAGCATGGTATAACGACAAACTACGTGTTCTATACGTCTGCAAAGTTACAAACAGTGATAGTGTTTAGTTCCTTCATGATATCTGAAACTTGGCCTTCGAAGATAAGGGATTGATGAAACACTGCCAGGCTTCTTGATAGAGTGACAACTTTGCTGATGGGAGTAGTGATCTGCTAAGGAGGAGAATAGTCATGATGACTACTGTTCTCTCAGCTCGAATCTGTTCGTAAAGTGCCGCAGTGTTTTGTACTGAATCACTAAGAAATTTGACAATCGCTAATGAAGTTTTCCCCCCTCTGAAAGCCAAATATAAGTGTGAGAACTGAAAGGCAAGCCTATCGCTACAGCTTTCAGTGGTCTGGGAAACCTCCATTTAGCTGCTCAACTCTTGATCCAGTATCTCGTCTCTGTGCCATGGAGTTTATGTCCACAGACATGACCACAGATGCAGGGGTGGTCACCCACATGCACGGCCCCATTTCTGTGTGTCGATGTCTTGTGTGCAAAAGAGAGAGAGAGAGAGAGAGAGAGAGAGAGAGAGAGAGAGAGAGAGAGAGAGAGAGAGAGAGAGAGAGAGAGAGAGAGCTATTTTGGGTTGGGAGAGGGAAAGAGATTCATAGATTGTCAGATAGGTAGATAGACACAGAAATTCTTAGGTTTCTAGGTAAGTAGGTCAGTCTAAAAGTATCTTAAGCGGGAGTCTGGACATGTGGATGAGGATGACCGTTTCATTCAGATACTCAAGGTACTGGAAGGTGAGATATTTTGAGTGGGGGCATGCTTCTCTGTGCAGCCAATTCGGTGCTGTTTGTTTGATCTGCAGCATTCTTATACCGCAGTGCTCCGTGAGACCTTATTGCACACTCCCAACGCTCCTTGCCCGAATCCATCCCCCCATGGTCCCCCGAATCCATCTCCACCGGCCATTAACCCTTGCACCTAACGGCCTCGACAACTCAACTCCTGACCCTCCTTGGCAGATCCTTTAGCACCACCATAATCACCTTCCCCCCAATGCTTTAGCCCTTGGCGACTTTAGCCCTTTAGCAGATCCTTTAGCCCTTGGCGACTTTAAAGGTCACCTTGTTACCCCGTTGACGACTCTGAACTCCTCAGCAAATACTGTTTGGGAAGGCTAGCTGATGGACATAGAGTCATAGACCCTTCATGCCGATCCCACGGGTGACCTTCCTATGGTCTGCAATCCATGCATGCTACAAGGGGACCCTTGTCAACTTGAAAGGTCACCTTTTTAACCCCTTGCCAACCCCAAACTGCTCAGCACAGACTGTTTGGGAAGGCTGGCCGATGGACATCGAGTCCCATAGCTGTGGCGCGTCACGTGCATGCGACAAGCTCACGTGCGGCGCAAAGTGCGTGCGCATGCAGTCATGTACACGTTGATGCGCCGCACCTCGAAAATAGGGGTCTGATTTTTTTCTGAAAAAAAGAAGGGGGGAGCTGTGGCGTATGATAGCAGGCCGCTCCCCTCGCCTCATGAAAATAGTGGTCCCAAAAAAAACCCAAAAAATTGGGGCTGCGCTCGACAGCGCCCCGGGAAAAATCTGTCTGTTTCACGAGGTCGTGTCTTTCAGTGCACCTTTGAGGTTTTGAATGTATACGGGCAATCTTTCAGGTAAGGTACCCTGATTATGCATGTGTTCTGCGCTGTTTCAACAGGTAGGTCTGAGAGCCATGTTCTTATCTTCTTTTTTGGTAGGGTTTTTTTTTTTTTTCCCTGTTTTCTTGCTAATTATTATGAGCTTTTCACGAATCGTGCAAATGGCGATTTCTGAGCGAACGTGCTAATAATTATCTCTATCGCTAGCTCAGCATGTATGTGACCAATCTATGCCAGCCGATACATTCATAATGAGGGTGTGTTGTCTACTTTATCTATGTAACTTTTATGTCCTAGAAACCGTCTATATCTGACTGTACTTCTGGCCAGAAGTAAGCACTTCCCAACGACACATGGTCGGCTGCCGTTAAGTTGCCCGCCAAGGTAAGTTCGTTTCTTTGTCAGGGTACACGACACATGCTCATCGTAAAAGTTGGTCTCTATCTGTGAAACTTCTTAACGGGCGTTTGGAAGCGCCCTCGTCACGACTGGGGCCTGGCTCCACCACCCACCAAATGTACAAAATGAGAATGAACCTTCCGCTAGAACATGGAAATTGGCACCACCATAAGTTTTGTCTTTGGAAAGAAAAGGTTACGCGAGCTTCACGAACGGGCGCTTCCTGCGATATAACGGGGCCATTTTCTGGATCACACACACACACACCAAGAAAACAAAAAACACCCTACGTGCACGGGTGCAGTTCCGCCCAGGCTAGCGTATTGTAGCCGTGCGCGCAGTGCGCGCGCATCAGCCTCGAAAAAAAAAAACACAGCACACTGCACCGGTGCGCCGCAGGTATGACATTGACTCTCGATGGAGATCCCATGGGCGACCTTCTCTGGGGTCTGCAATCCATGGAAGCTACGACACTTCTTGACTACCTGCAAGGCACTCAGATGCCCTGGTGTCTCTTCACCTCCTTCAACATATTCAATAATTTCTCCTTCCACTCTCCATGGAACCCTCCCAACACCCCTCCCCGCAGTCCTCGCTTGACATGTGATCTTTGTTGATATGTTGCCAACCCTGTTCGACACACTCCACAACATTACTCCAACCACCTTTGGTACACCCCACCTGGTCTACGCAGTGTTCCGAGGCAACGATCCTATCTTCTCTTGGGCCATCTGATGACGGCTACCAAGTGTTTCTTGCCGCCCCCTTAACACACATTATCACCCCCTCCACCCCCTTGTACATAGATTTTGCCATTTGACACTCCATTTTTATGGTCTCGCTCAGCACTCTCTGCACGCTACTCGAATCCTGCCCACCTAACCTCCCAGGCTTTCCCCATTCCCAACTGGCGATTCCTTGGTCTCCTTTCTCATTACCCTTAACCCCCCC